ACGGAAGTTGCAGATATTCTTTGTCTCAAAATCTAACAAAGCTTGACCTCGCAACTTTGTACACAACACTGTTTGTAACAAAGCAGGTTCATCCAACGGGCTAACAACTCCCGCTGCATATTCATACGCGTTCAAAAATTCGCGTATCTGTTCAGCTTCCCGTCAAACGCTGGTATTAGATTCACCGCGTCTTTTAATTGTAGCTGACTTCTGTTTACTACGTGGTTTCGGATGTCATCATCCGTCCGTCCGTACGTGATATCAAGTTGCTCGCTCGGCCGTACGTGTGTGTTTCGTTGTGTGGGTGGAGCACCTGTTTCGCGCACTCTTTCTTCGCGTAGCTCCCCTACTTGCCTACCTAACGCGTCTATACGTGCTTCCATTGCTCCTAATGTCCGCAAGACCTGACGCAGGACTTCCTCGGTGGCGTCATGACTCGGCCTTACTGACCCTGGGTCCCCCGCGGACTCCGCTCCACGAGCTCCGACTAGCTCGTGTTGCATTTGCGTTATTTCCCTGTCTACCGCGTCCTGGGCTCGTCTAACACTTTCCATGTCCAGAGCCCGATCCGTATTATCTAAATCTGACGCAAGGTTATTTCTGCCCGCCTGTAACATTTTGCTTTGATTCAAAGAAATAGGTTTGTTATTACCGTCTTTCCTCCTTAATAAGTTTCCAGCAATACTCCGGTCTATTTCTATTTCGAACTCTTTTTCGATTGTTACGTTCGGATGTGATTCCGTGTTGCTATCACCTTCGAATCTTAATCGGCGTTTATACGTATGTGCCTCTAATTTCTCCGGAGCAGTTGGCGGTTCCGGTGTCGGTACTAAATTTTTATTTGTTCGATATTCACGAGCGGAGTTCCAGTCGCGTTTTCCCGGACAATCTTTCTGCCGGTTTTCTGACATTTACAAAACGTTATTACAAAATTTTCGACTTACGCTAGCGCTCTCATTTCCTCGCCTGCTGAGTGCTGTTTTGCGAAACGCAGATATTTATGTAGGTCGTCGGCTCTTATGTCGCCGCCGCTGCTGCTGACGCTGCTGTTGCCACTGTATGCTGCCGCTGTATGCTGCCGCTTTGGTTGTTGCATTTTTAGCTTCAATTGGAGCCGAATTTCTTCTTTCTTCCGCTGGTCCTTTTTTGCATCCAAAATGCTTCTTCTAATAACGCTTTCTCGGAGTACTTTGCGGTGGCTTTACTTCTTTTTCTCGCCTCTTGTCCGCTGCTTCTACTCCGCTTATAACACTGCTCACTTTACTATTGCGGTAGGTCAGTTTCGTGCGTAACCCGAGATCGTGAGCGTTGAACAGTGATTTTCTATTCACTTTTTTGCACCTCTTGATTATACTATTAACTCTGTTACTTTTCTGTTTCAGGTGCTGAAAACCCGTTTCACATATTGTTAGCCGGGATTCAAGATTATTTATCTTTTTTTTAAGTTTATTCTCTTCTTAGAATAATTTTCCTTTGTATTTTACTTGACAGTTTTCTCTTTACTTTCCCACCAATAATTTTTGACGTCCTTGTAGTTTCTTCCACAATCCAACCGGAATCTTTTCCGTAATAAATACTGATAGGATCCCGTCTCGGTAGTTGGTTTACAATCCCATCGCTGCCACCAAATTTGTTGTGATTACGNGGAGTTGTAGGACTTGGTGATGAAGAAGATTCTTTACAAACTGACAAAGTTTATTAGTTATCACTTTTACAACTGTTTGTACAATTATCGCACGCTATTTCTGACTCTTAGCCGTTGCTATACTGCGGTAAACTCTCCGGATGGACTCGGAGCCACACAGTATTCAACAGCTACTCACGATCTGCCTGTTGTTGCTCGCGATCGATCTTTTAAAGGAATCGATCGCGATCACTCAGCAATTTTACGACCTAATTGCTACCGCACGTAGGCCGCTGACGTTGCGTGCTGCGTCCGTATTCTACTTAACATTACGCTTAACAAGCAGATTTCATTTACAAAGAAATGCTGCTTGTTACCCTTTTAAAATAAATTTGGGTCGATTGACCAACGCTGCAATTGCTCAAAGGCCCGTACGAAACTAAACTAAATTTCACAACATTTGTTAATACACCTTTCGTAGTAGACAGAGTTGCCGGTGTTGATAGTTTCGAACCAATCAGCTTGGCCCGCGCTATCTCCGACAAGTTATTTGTTTATTGCGACATTTGCGAGTCATACACAGTTTGTCCGGAAAGTTCCCGGACTGATTTTTTCTAGCGCGGGTAAGCGGCGCTATCGAGCGGTCAACGCTGGAAC